GTTTGTCTGTGTGTCTCTCTGTCTGTTTGTCTGTCTCTGTGTCTCTGTGTCTCTGTCTGTTAGTCAGTCTGTCTGTCTGTCTGACTGTCTGTCTGTTTGCCTGTCTGTCTGTCTGTTTATCTGTTTGTCTCTGTCTGAATCTGTCTAACCGTCTGTCGATGTGTATGTCTCTGTCTGTCTGTCTGTGTCTGTGTCTGTGTCTCTATGTCTCTGTGTCTCTGTGTCTCTGTCTGTCTCTGTGTCTTTGTCTGTCTCTGTATCTGTACGTATGTCACTCTGTCTGTCTGTCTGTCTGTCTGTGTCTGCCTGTCTGTCTGTCTATGTGTGTGTGTATGTCTGTCTGTCTCTGTGTCTCTGTGTCTCTGTTGCTTGTTCTGAGTGTTCTTGCTGCAGCCCCGAACTGTTATCTCTGAGAGCCTGTCCCGTTCTGTTGCTTGTGCTGAGTGTTCTCGCTGCAGCCATGAAATGTTACAGTTCTAAGACCACTGAGCAGTCCTGACATGCCACAATGGTTTCAGTTCTACAATCTCTGAGAGGTTGTCCCGGTCTCTTCTGAGTGTTCTTGCTGCACCCCTGAAGTGTTATAGTCCTATAACCACTGAGCAGTCCTGACATGCCACAATGGTTTCAGTTCTACGATCTCTGAGAGGCTGTCCCGGTTTGTTCCTTGTGTTGAGTGTTCTTGCTGCAGCCCTGAAATGTTATAGTCCTATAACCACTGAGCAGTTCTGACATGCCAGAACGGTTTCAATTCTACAATCTCTGAGAGGCTTTCCCGGTCTGTTCCTTGTGCTAAGTATTTTTGCTGCAGTCCTGAAATGTTATAGTCCTATAATCTCTGAGAGGCTGTCCCGGTCTGTTCTGAGTGTTCTTGCTGCAGCCCTGAACTGTTATAGTCCTATAACCACTGAGCAGTACTGTTCCAGTCCTTTGCTTGTTCTGAGTGTTCTTGCTACAGCCCCGAACTGTTATAGTCCTATAACCACCGAGCAGTACTGTTTCTGCTAAGTGATTGTAATTCTGTAATCTTTGAGATCCTGTCCCGGTCTGTTGCTTGTGTTGAGTGTTCTTGCTTCAGCCCTAAACTGTTATAGCCCTATAACCACTGAGCGTTTCTAACATGCCACAATGCCCGTTTTTTTGTTCGTGCAGGTTTTCATTGGAGAGCTCGGTGAATATTTGGATCCACGTCTTAAGACCAGGCTTCTTCCGTTCAAGTACCTGATCGCTGAGCCAACGTCGACCCCAAGCCCGTTGAAAACGAAGCCAGGCAAGCGGAGAACGCCTCCTCCAGTTGTAGTCTCCCCGCAGACGTGTGTCGAGTCCTCGGCAGCTCTGGAGAAAGGTTCGGGTACGAAGTCGAAAGCTCCGAAAAAGAAAGTACTTGCGGGGAAAGTTGCGGCGTCTTCGAAAAGGAAGGCAAAGCTCCGCAAGACGAGCTGGGTACGAAGCCGAAAGCTCCAAAAAAGAAAGTACCTGCGCCGAAAGTTGCGGCGTCTTCGAAAGAGAAAGGCAAAACTCCGCAAGACGAGCTTCAAGTTCCTCGAGGTCTTGTTCCCGGCGAACTCAACGACGAGATGACACGGGCCTGGAACGAGTTGGAGAGTTTAGAGGAGAAGAAAATTTTTCAAGAGCCTTTTTACCTGCCCATGTCGTGTTTGCGACGACCGCCGGACGATGGAGCAGGAAACAGGTCACTCGAGATTCGGGAGCCCGAAGAGTACCACGTTTCCACAATCATGGATTCGATGATTACTTGTCCGACTGGGGATCATCTTCCCTTCGTTGGTGTCGTGGATCCGTCGGAGGTGAAAGATAAGAAGGACGTGGATCTGGCCCGGTTGCGCAAAGGTGGCTACACCATTTATGTTCTTGGAGGTGGACATTGCCGGGAGGCGAGGGAGCGTCTGCAAAAGATCTACCCTGACAAGGAGGATTACAAATGGAATGTGTGCTATGTCTATGCGGGCCTAACTATAGAAGAAGCGGGGCAGGTGGGTCACAAACACAATTTGGCAGCTGGCTACCACAGAGATTTGAACTTCATCGAGAAGATGAAATGTTGGCGTAACATCTTCGAGAGAATGGGGTCTGTGAAGAACACTCAGGTGAAGTTGGCATGCCTGCGGGAGTTCGGCATACCGTGTTCTACCAAGAAGCTGCAGAATAATGACCCCTTGTTGCAGATCGCGATGCGTCCCAAAGAGATCTGGGACCTGCAACTGGGAATTTTTGAGATGTGGCAGAAGGGGGAGGTCAAGAACCAGAAACTCAAGCCTCTTGCGAAAAGTCAGATCTGCACAGACGTCGCTCCAGAGTCCAGCGAGTCGGAGGGTGGCAAGAAACAACGAGGGGCGAAAAAGCTGGACAGGGCTGTCGCAAAGCAGCAAGAGATGGCGTTCTTCAATCCTCGCCTAAAATTGAAGGACAACAAAGTTGCTTCGGCCCCGGCTGACATGCCTGCGCAGCCGTGGATTACGGTGGGCAATATCCCGCACGACGCTATCATCCCCATCTTGACGGAAGTTGTGTCCAAGCAAATCTCCCTGGAAGAGATGGAGAGGAAGTTCAAGGTCGTGAAAAAGTTTGGCTACGTTGCAAAGGCCTTTTGCAGAGGTGTCAAATACAAAGACTTCAAAACCGCAGAGGAGTTGTATCCTTTGCACACCAAGAAGGAGGTTCTCGAGCCATTCATTAGGACTTTTGAGAGGCGAGGGGCTAAACCCACTGCTTTGCTAAATCACATTGAACGAGCGAAGGAGTGGAGGAAGATGGAGGACAAGAGGATTAAAGATGCACAAAGAGCGAGTCACGATTTCTTCCGAGCGCATTCCCTGGACGACTCTTTCGCGGACTGGACTGACGTGAAGTACGAAGGGTGCTCGGGGCAGGTCAAGGTCATTCAAGGCGATATGTTGCGTTTGGCACAACTGCAAAAGGACAAGGTGTCGATTTCCCTTTCCATCTTCGATTTGCCCTACGGCTTTGCGCACAAAGGACACGCGCGTGACACGGAGCCATTCCCGGAGAGTGACATTGTCGCTGTGCTCCAGAATGTCAAGGAGGTTTCAAGCGCATCGCTCTGGACAGTCGCTGCTTTCTGCTCTGTGGACATGCTATCCTCAGTGAGGTCCGCGTTTGCGAAGATCTGCAATGTTGGTCAAGAGTTTGTCACGTGGTGCAAGCCGAACACAACGAATCCCGGTGGCCCGAAACTTGTCAGCGCGACGGAGTTCTGCGTTCTGGGGTACTACAATGTGACGGGCCAACGTGAGATGACGCATTACAACTTCACTCCCACCGATCCCCGCCACAACTTTCAACTTTTTGATGCGGTCACGCGAAAGTTTGTGCACCCGGCTAATGACAGGGTGCTTTGTCCGTACCAGAAACCTTATGCATTGTATTTCTGGTTGGTCACAAAGTTCCCTCCACCAGGCGGCACCGTTTTGGATGGCTTTTCGGGCTCGGGTACAGGGGCCATTGCTTGCGTGATGGCGAATAGGAATTGTCTTGTCGTGGAGCTGGACAGGTGGTGTGCGAAGGGAATCCGCATGAGGCTGCTCACTGACCTCGAAGGGACGTTGCAGAGAGAAAAGCCGAAAGAGGGGAAGGGCAAGTCGAAGGAACAGCACCCTGATGCGGACGTTGAGGTGTCTGGGGATCACGGCCTCGAGGAGGAAGAGCAACATGTTAAGGAAGCCACGGCGAGGGAGGCTTCTGGCCAGGACATGACGCAGGAGACATGGGAGCCCATTCCGGGATTGATTTCAACCGAAGCCAATCTGCCGGCAGGATCTGACCAGCGTAAGGAACCGTCTGTGGCAGTACACGAGGTCGTAAGAGAAAGATCGGAGGATAGGAGGCGGTCAACTCCTTGTGATGGGTCTGCACAGCGATGCTCGGTCGCGTGTGCGGAAATAAGCAAGGGCGCATATAGTTCTATAACTTATTTTTGTTATAGAACTTTATTTGAGACCGGGGACTGCTGTTGTTGTCATCGTCGCTTGTTTTTGTTTTAGAACTATATTTGAGACGGGGGACTGCTGCTGTTGTCGTCGTCGCTTGTTTCTGTAATAGAACTATATTTGAGACCGGGAACGTTTGTACTCCTGTTTTGATGGCGAAGCTTGTACTCCTGTTTTGATGGCGAATTTTTTTTTTTTTTCATTTTTTTTTTTCTCTTTTTTTTTTCATTTTTTTTTTCTTTTTTCTTTTTTTTCTTTTTTTTCTCTTTTTTTCTTTTTGAGGCGGCTGTTGTGTCATTTTCCTTTTGGGTTTCAAGGACATAAGTCCTGAGTGAGGTTTTGTCATTTGTCCCGCGTTCTGTTCTGACTTGACAATTTGTTTTCCATTTTCTAATGGGGAATTGTTTGAGCATAAAGGGGCTTGGCTGGCTCCGCTGCGTCGTTTCCTGCCCGCTTTTTCGGGTGTCAAAATAGTTCGTTTGATACATTTGTGTATCTGTTCGGTGTGACAGCTGAATGATTGTGGTCCTTTGCTCTGTGCGAAGCGTGATGCCAGGTCTTTGCTTCTGCTCACTATCGCTATTGGAAGCATGCCCTGACAGTGGCGAGCGTCTTAGTTGTTTTAGTCCTGTAATCGCTCTCGTTGTTCGAGCTACAACATCTGAATGATTGTAGTCCTGTAATCATTGAGGCGGTTCGTGCCACAGTCATGGTTTTGCTCAGTATCGCTGTTGGAGTCGTGGCCTTACAACGACGACCGTCTCAATTGTTGGAGTCCTTTACTCGTTCTCGTTGTTCGCCCTACAACCTGTGAATGATTGTACTCGTCTGATTATTCCCATTGCTTGAGCTACAACCTCTGAATGATTTTAGTCCTGTGTTAATCACTTTGGCGGGTGGTGTCACAGTCTTGTTTCTGGTCCGTCCTCGAAATGGTTTGTTTGCAGCAATCTGAAATCGCTACCAAACACATTGTTGCTCTCAAACTAGTCCCTTGAATGTTGAACATTTGTTTTGACACCTGGCACGTGGCACAGTCCAGACGAAGACAACGTCTGGACCGTGCCACGTGGCACCTCGATATGATGCTGAACTGTTCTAATCGTTACTTTCAGGAAAGTCTCGAACAAATATGTATTTACATCCCGTGCAGTCAACCACAGATCCCGATCTTCCTCCACGTCGCGTCCAACTCAACAATGAAGACAAGTGGTGAATGCCATGCAAGTAGACAATGTGGTGTGCGCCACATCAACAAGTAGACAGTGTCGCATCTGCCACATCAGCATGTAGACAGTGTAGCATGTGACACGTCAGCAAGTACACAGGACATCAAACGTCGCATCAGCGTTTAGACGGCGTGGCATGTGCCACGTCAGCAGAGGCTGGCACCGAGGAAAGGAGGCACCGGCATGCCTCCAGGGCTCTCGCGTCGTCGTCGCTATCTGCTTTCGAAGCTGTCTTGGTACCTGCACGTCAACAAGTGCGTGTGTCTGACCGTCCGCCCCGGTTGGGTCCATTTTTGCGTTGACTGCCAGTTCTCAAGCAGTTCACTTCGGTCAAAATACTGCACGTCCAGGCCCTGGAAAACATCTTCCCCCTGAGGATGATTGTAGGACTTTGTTACAATTCGACGAAAACTCATCCCGGGATGAATCATCGATATAGGACTATAAATCGATTTCTCCTTATCTCTGAAAAGTGCCTACTGTTTGCCGTCAGGAGGCCCTTCAAAAACTCTCTCCCAACAGCCCCCTCTCCGCTTCCGAGGCTGAACGCTCCTTTGAAACGTCACCGAAATAAAACCTCGCTCTGAAGGATGTCAAACGAGCACAGTGGGCTGGCGGAGCAACTGAAACTGATCTTGTGCAGGCCGCATATGTGTAGCACAAATTATTTGTCGGAGCAGGGTGTGCACTCCACCATGTCTTCCACATACCCCAAAGAAATCCTTCTCCCTGTACATTCTACCTCCGTTAACATCACATTCCGGCATCAATCCTGAAAGTTAGTCCATGGCAGTCAGCAATAAAAACACAACCTTTTTTTTAAACTGCCACTCAATTCCGGCAACGGGTGATCACCCGCTGTCTCCCAATAGCTTCCTCTCCGCTTTTGAGGCCGAACACTCTTCTAAAACGTCGCCCAAATAAAACCTCGCTCTAAACGATGCCAAATGAGCATAATAGGTTGGCGGAGCAACTGAAACTGATCTTGTGCAGGCCGCATATGTGTAGCACAAATTATTTGTCGGAGTAGGGTGTGCACTCCACCATGTCTTCCACATACCCCGATGAAATCCTTCTCTCTGTACATTCTACCTCCATTGACATCACATTCCGGCATCAATCCTGAAAGTTAGTTCACGGCAGTCAGCAGTAAAAACACAACTTTTTTTTAAACTGCCACTAAATTCCGGTAAAGGGTAATCACCCGCTGTCTCCCAACAGCTCCCTCTCCGCTTCCGAGGCCGAACACAACCTTTTTTTATAGTGTCGCTTCCGAGGCCCTGCAAAACACAAGAATCTTCCGGCCATCGTAGGCCACTCGCCGTCCCCCAAAATCTGAAACCCGATGATGTTCCTGAAACTGTGCAATTATGATCCTATTCGTCCCTCTCGAAACGTCCGGGGAAATGACCACATCGTAATGATGTATTTCCCGCTTGGAGACAGTCACTGAAAAGTGGTTGGCTATGAGTACTCGTCGTTCTTCAACCTTGTCGTAATCAGGTTTCAGCACTCTGCTCACTCCGGCAGGGTCCTTCTCTGCCAATGTAATCGCCTCCAACCTTGCACTGAGCGCCCTCTGAACTGCCGCTTCTGTAGCCAGACGTGGGGGAGGAGTTGCAGGTGGAAGAGGTCCACCATRTCCACCCTCCTAGCCCGCTGTCTCCCAACAGCTCCCTCTCCGCTTCCGAGGCTGGACGCTCCTCTGAAAGGTCGCCCAAATAAAACGGCGCTCTGAAGGATGCGAAATAAGCATAATATGCTGGTGGAGCAACTGAAACTGATCTTGTGCATACCACATGCGTGTAACACAAATTGTTTGTCAGACTGCTGTATTTCCCTGCTTTCTCTCTTCCTCTTCCTCTAGGATCCACAAGTCTCCCCCATCTGTTTCGCCACAAACTCTTCCAAACTACATCAGCCATGTTCAAAAGGCTTGCAACAGTTTTGCACTCCACCTTGTGCACAATGTTCCTCGTCCGGGTCGAGCTGGATCCAAGTCGGCCGGTCTGATGCTCAGGTAAAACCCCTTGTAGACCATGACTCCGCCACCAAGGGGTTGACTGCCCGCCTCCTTGAAATATGATCAGCACTCGTCCCGGGCTGAATCATCGATATAGGACTATAAATCGATTTCTCTTTATCTCTGAAAAGTGCCTTCTGTTTGCCGTCAGGAGGCCTTTCAAAAACTCTCTCCCAACAGCTCCCTCTCCGCTTCCGAGGTTGAACGCTCCTTCGAAACGTCGCCCAAATAAAACCTCGCTCTGAACGATGCTAAACGAGCTTAGTAGGTTGGCGGAGCAACTGAAACTGATCTTCTGCAGGCCGCATATGTGTAGCAAAAATTATTTGTCGGAGTAGGGTGTGCACTCCACCATGTATTCCACATACCCCGAAGAAATCCTTCTCCCTATACATCTACCTCCGTTGACATCACATTCCGGCATCAATCCTGAAAGTTAGTCCACTGCAGTCAGCAGTAAAAATACAACCTTTTTTTTAAATTGCCACTCAATTCCCGTAAAGGGTAATCACCCGCTGTCTTCCAATAGCTCCCTCTCCGCTTCCGAGGCCGAACACAACTTTTTGTTATACTCCCGCTTCCGAGGCCCTGTAAAACACAACAATCTTCCGACCATCATAAGCCACTTGCCGTCCCACAAAATCAGAAACCCGATGGTGTTCCTACAACAGTGCAATTACGATCCTATTCGTCCCTCTCGAAACGTCAGGGGAAATGACCACATCGTAATGATGTATTTCCCGCTTGGAGACAGTCACTGAAAAGTGGTTGGCTACGAGTGCTCGTCGTTCGCCAACCTTGCTGTAATCAGGTTTCTGCACTCCGCTCGCTCCGGCTAGGCCCTTCTCTGCCAATGTAATCGCCTCCAACCTTGCACTGAGCGCCCTCTGAGTTGCGCTTCGGTAGCGAGACGTGAGGGAGGAGTTGCAGGTGGAAGAGGTCCACCATATCCACCCTCCTAGCCCGCTGTCTCCCAATAGCTCCCTCTCCACTTCCGAGGCTGGACGCTCCTCTGAAAGGTCGCCCAAATAAAACGGCGTTCTGAAGGATGTCAAATAAGCATATTATGCTGGCGGAGCAACTGAAACTGATCTTGTGCATACCACATACGTATAACACAAATTGTTTGTCAGACTGTTGTTTTTCCCTGCTTTCTCTCTTCCTCTTCCTCTAGGATCCACAACTCTCCCCCATCCGTTTCGCCACGAACTCCTCCAAACTACATCAGCCATGTTCAAAAGGCTTGCAACAGTTTTGCACTCCACCATGTGCACATTTTTTCTCGTCCGGGTCGAGCTGGATCCAAGTCGGCCGGTCTGATGCTCTGGTAAAACCCCTTGTAGACCATGACTCCGCCACCAAGGGGTTGACTGGCCGCCTCCTTGAAATATGATCGGCCCACCGGTATGCTTATTTGGCGTCCTTCAGAGCGCCGTTTTATTTGGGCGACCTTTCAGAAGAGCGTCCAGCCTCCAGATTTTTATTTCACCATCCTTTGATACACTAAAGAGATATGTCAATTTGGGATGCAAAAAGGCGGACATGATCGATTCGTCGTGTCTCCGAAATGTGGCTAGGCAAACACCTGCAGCGACCAAAAGTGAGTTGTTCGACGGTGTGGCAGAGAAAAATTCAATGTTGGTCATCCGCTTCGAGATTGCACGTGCCGCTTGCGCTGTTCATTCCCGATGTGTTTGCTGGCTACCACTTGCTGCAGGAGGACAGGAGATCACCACAATCTTTCATTTGTAACTGCTAATCATACCCCATCCGTTCTTGTCCCCATCAATGTTCTGCTCCTTTAAAATTTCAATGTTGGTCTGTTATTTGGTCTGAAAAGATGATGCGCATTGAGTTCATGACATCAGGGTTTGTCTTTCTTTTTAGCCATTGCCCGATGTATTGATGCCCAACGTCCGCTTCCTTCACAAACTATTGCGAGGGTTTGAATCTTGGACGAAATGTCGATCCAAACACTGTTGTGGATTAGAAGATCTGTCATCCTACCGACTTCGACTTTTATTTATGCAGTCACGCTGACTTTAAGGGAACGAGTCGGCCGACATATAACATATGTGTAGCACAAATAATTTGTCGGAGTCTGGAAGGCATCTAGGCCAATGTTATTTTCATCATACAGGACAGTGTAATGCGTCGGCCGACTCATTTCCTTAATGCCAGCGTGACTGTATAAATAAAATTCGGGTCATACTGAGGAATTGCTTAGCACTGCTGTGGAAGCAATGAACAAAGTTTTGGTATTTAATTAGACGCCATTCCACGGGTGGAGCAAAGAGAGCATTGAGTACTGCCTCCCTAATATCCGATTCCATCCAAATGTAACTAAGACGATTGTGGCTTAGGTTGTTCTCTCTGGAACATCAAGGGACGACTTGCGAGAAATATTGGAATGTCACGTCAGCCTGGCATTTGTAGAGCCCAGCAGTATGGGTTCGACGAGGAAGCCAGAAGTGTCGCATACCACTCCATCGCAACCAGTGAGCGCAGCAGACAAAAAATCACTGCTGCCAACGCAACGTATTACATTTAAATCATTGTCGATTGCCAAACTTCTTTGGAGTGCATTGCGACCTAAAGCAACGGATCAATTTTCTGGAGTAGCTTATTTTCAGGTCTGATACCGAGTTCTTCCAAGCAAGCTTGCTTTGTGTCCGTCGTCTTTTTGAAACCTTTTTCTACAAATGTTATCATCCATCATGTTTTTAAAATCCTTCTCAAGCAGGTAACCAGCGCAGCGCTGTGGACTGTGTTTCTGCTCCGTGGACATGCTTCCCTCATTCCGGTCTGCTTTTGCAAAAGTCTGCAATGCTGGCCAGAAGCTTCTCACGTGGTGCAAGCCAAACATGACAAACCCCGGTGGCCCCAGGCTTGT